CCATCAGTTGTCAATATACATAGTATTTGTATTATTTGAAGCCAGACTGAGTGGATATCACTAAACACCATCAGTTGTCAATAAACATAGTACTTGTATTATTTGAAGCCAGACTGAGTGGATATCACTAAACACCATCAGTTGTCAATAAACATAGTATTTGTATTATTTGAAGCCAGACTGAGTGGATATCACTAAACACCATCAGTTGTTAATATACATAGTATTTGTATTATTTGAAGCCAGACTGAGTGGATATCACTAAACACCATCAGTTGTCGATAAACACAGTATTTGTATTATTTGAAGCCAGACTGAGTGGATATCACTAAACACCATCAGTTGTCAATATACATGGATACTTATGTGAAGCCAGAGTGGGTAGATATAACTAAATATCTCCTTGAGCAAAAGAAAAACTAGTGACCAAATTTAAATCTATTTTCAATAAAATACTAATCAAAACCACACTTCAAAAGGCTGATTATGACTTGTTTAGACATTAAGAACCTTAAAAAGATACGAAACTTTTGTTCATAAGTTGCATTTACCAAAAAAATGTTGTTTATTGAAGATATGATTTCCAAGATTTCTGAAGTGGAGACATCACTGGAGAGTTGATTTTCTTCTTGCGTGACTAGAGCAGGAAATATGCTATCTACTAGAGATACCTACGAAACCATGAAATAAAACATGCAAGTTACAGCTACACAAGATACTTCACCATACAAAAAAACCTGAGAGTAAAAACAATGCATTAATAAACACATTCACTTAAAAATTGATAATAAAAGTCATTACCAACAACAATGTTGAACACAACAAAAAAATCAAAATGTTATAACATTATGACTTTTAAAATATTCATAAAATATAAATGTAGGTATATTTAAATCTCAAATAATCAAAAGAGAAGTTCTAATGCAGATACAAGGTAAAATGGAACAAAGGTGAGTCTGTTTGAAATAACCTATAGAAAATGTTTTCTAAAGTGTACCTAACATAAACTGACAACAAAGGTAAATCTATGTCTGTAACAACCAATAAATTACTTGTTTTAAGGTGGCTATAAGGAACAAGAATGTGCTTTAGATTCAAATAAATGCTACTCAAAAGCCCTAATAGTAAAATTTTGCAGAAAGTGCAAGACTTAACACAGATTGATGAAATACCATTATAAAAGACTTAAGATATTAGTATAAAACTACAGGATATAATAGATGATGTTCACATGATATTGCAGAAAGAAACTGATGTCATAATAGATGGTGGTTTGAAAGTTTATAGTAGTTGTTAAGATTGCAAAGGAGAGAGTGTTGAAGAGAAATAACAGTGATGAAAAAAGTAAAATAGGGTTTTAAAAGGAAGGATAGTGCAAATCTTACGCAGCATATCCAAATCTTAGTTGAAATATAATTAAATGTAAATTCATGAAGTAGTGAGAGAGAGAGAGAGAAAAAAAAATCACAGCCATAATACAAATATACAACACTGGGGCACAAATCATAAGGTGGGCCACTATGTAATGTGCCCTGGTTTTTAGAAGTAGTAGCAGAAGTAAGACCCAAATTTTGTTGGGGTACACCATCTATCCAGTATAACCTCAACTTTGCTAGCCTCACGTGTTTAAGTAAAGTTAAAAAAAAAAAAGAAAGCAAACATGGAAATTAAATTAAAAAATAACAAAAACACAGCAAGAAATAATAGAATACATTATATCAATGGGGAGACAGCAAAACTGTCCTTGAGGTTAGCATTCCAACCCCCAATATGATGTTTGGACATAAATACCAAGATGTTAAAGTATTACTATACTAAGCCTAACAAATATTATAAGTATAGCTCTCATCCTCCACCTTTCCAAGCAACTATCTGGATCTTCAACAGTTCTAAAGTCATCCACACAGTATAAGGTCTTATATAGGGAAGGTGATATAATTACCACTACATTAATCTCCTTATACAAGATATGAATCTCCAATTAGTAATTCCAATTATTCCCCTACAAGAAATTTTAGAAATTATTTTTCATTGAGCATATTATCATTTTCTTTAAATCACTATTTTCAAATTTGCATAAATATTTAATTAAAGTTTTCTCCTCAAATCTATTAAAAATCAATTTATGTACTAATATATTAATATTAGATATTAAGAACTGTACATTACTACAAATTCTACAATACCTAAGAAGCTGTGAGTGTATAATGCTCTGTATGGCATTTATTGGTACATTACTGTTTGTAGAGGGAGCCCAAAAATTTGAAATGTAAAATCACTTCTTTTATCATGAATATTAATATTACAATGATTATTAATGATCTTAATGTTTAAATCTAAATAATGTACTTCAGTATTTGATATAAAAGTTTTCTCAATCTGTACAACTGTAGGATAAATGTTACCTACATTACATAATAACCTACTTTCTGATTTGTGGCCCAGTGTTGGATGTTTGTATTTTCTCTCTCTCTCTCTCTTTTATGAATTTATGAATAAATAAATAAACTTTCAAATATCTCACTACATCTCTAAAAAAGTGTAGAAATGTGATCCATAAATGTTGAAGTGTTAAGTCAATGAAAGGAGAAAAATAACGTATGAAAGATTTAGCTTTACATTTATTAAAATCATGTGTCACTGATCTTACTTCTCTATAGAAAACATCCAAATGAGTCAGTTTCTCAGAAGCACATTTTCCTCTCTGCTGTAAGACTAGCTGGATAGCATCCCCCAACAACTTTCCGTACCTATGAAATACAAATGTATGAAGGGGAAACAAAGGTGAAAATAATTCATAAAATTTCTATGTGAAACCTATAAGCATGGTTACCATAATTTAAAAAAAAAAAAACACTGTTCTCAAACTTCTTAAAATTGTTGTTAACTTTTATGTTCAATACAACAAATCTTAGTGCATGTATGTTGTGTGTGCAAAACCGTGATAAGAACAGAATGTGTATCTTTGCTAAAAACTATTTTTACTCTTAATATAGTAGCACAATGCATCTGAAAAGAAATTATAAAAACTACTCTATAGCAACATACATTTTTGTAGCTTGATTACTCATTATCAATTCAAAAAGTGTTTTGTTTCTTAAATGCATCCAATAAAAAACTCCTATTATACTATCAACATTAATCATATCACAGTCAAAGACTTTCTTTAGGGGTGATATGGAAATGCAGTCACATCACTTTATTCATTATCACATTTCATTTTTTGTTACAGACAGTGCTATCTTTAATCTATTTCCAAACAGAAAATGTGATCTTACCTTTACATATTAGCCTAGTTTAAAGAAAGTGCATTTGTGCTATTTTATGTTTATTTATTTTAATTAACTAAGCTATCAACATTAAAGATAAATATAATAGAGAAAACACTGGAGTATCAAAATTCACAAAAATTAAAATGACTTTAAATTAGAAAAAAAAAGTCAGTTACAAAAAAATTCCATAGAGATATTTATCCATCCATTCAATCAACACCCCCCCCCTGGTGGCAGATTTCACTGTACCAGCATGGGAGGTAAAAACATTATTATAAAATAGTGGAAATGTATAATGTTAACATGATGCTTGTACATTATCAACCACTTACGAATGTTATTAAACTTCGCAATACTAACAAAAGTGTTATTTTTAATGAAAAACAAATACCTTATAAACTATCTATCAAAGTAAATGTTTTTTCCAATTTTGTACTGAATCCAAGTTTTCACAAGGATTATCTCAATACCTGTCCTAAACTAATTTTCTGTACATACCTGATTAGCAAGAGCAAAGATTTGAAATCTTCAGTCTTGCAAACTTAAAAATCTACAAATCAATGTGTTTCTTTCAAAAGTTCTTAATTATTGATATTTTGGAAAATGACTTGTATAATTAAGACAAAATAAATATAAAAAAAACATTTTTGTTTGTTGTATAAAAGAACAAATCTAATATTTTATCTCTGTCTTCAGTTTTCCATGTTACTTACTGTGAATGTAGGTTTCTCAAGGACATTGCTGCAATTAACTTTTCAGCATGTTCACAAAGCAGCATCGGTGTCACCATGGGAGTTTCTCTCACAGTAACTGTTGATAACTGAAATATATTACAACAAACACTTTGACATTCATCAGGATTATTAATTAACACTTTTGCTATGGGCATCTTTTTCTGCACATGTAATGAGGTTTTTGAGTTACATTCAAAATGTAATGAAACTACTTTATCATCATAGTATATGAATAAACTTGGCATAAAAACTTAGCTAATAACCCAAATTTTAATATTATATAAGAGTTAAATTCTTAATTTTACAAGGCAATATACAAAGAATCTTGAATTTCCCCTAGTGTGAGAATTGTGACATTTGCTCTCTAGGTACTTCTTCTTCTCTAATTTACTTACCACCACTCCAACAAGTATGAAATTTAATATAAATTACTCATTATAATGTTGTCATGGCTCAGGCAAAGCATAATGTTTACAGGCATCAATTGCATTTGGTACATAAAATAGAAAATTTCTTGTCACACCCACCTATCACATCCTCTCTTTCAGAAATTGCCAATAGTTCTCTGATATTTAATACTATATTATTTATAACCAATAGAAAGCCAAGGTTTTAATCTATCAAATGATGTACTATATCACAATTTCTTAACAGAGAATTATCTACTTCACTCCCAGTTGAAAATTTTTTTCCCATGGGAAACACACCAATGAGCTTAGTTTGAAAGTCAGAAAAATTGTGATAGTTATGGAACATTGTCTGCTTTTTGCATGCTATTATTCTGTGTTCTTCAGTGCATTATTTAATTAAATAAAAAATTATTTAATGCAGTAGTACTATTAGTATAAAACTTTAAGGCAACAGCAAAAAAACAAAAAAAAAACACCAGAAGTCCCAGGTAAGTACTTTATTTCTTGTTTTTCACGTGTATTCTTTAATTATTACTATAAAAGTAACTAAAATACAAAAATTAGAAACCTTTTAGGTTAGATGAAGTTAGATTAGATAAAATAATAATATTAAAAAAATGTTCACAAGATATGTTTGTGAGCAACTCGCGAGTAGCCATGCATAATGTAATTCTATATGCTAACGTAAGCTCCTTGTTTGCTAAGTGATTGACAATTTTTATGGTGAGAATGTCAGTTTAGACACAGTTCAAAAGGCAACAAAACAATAAAATTCATGTATGAATAGATATCTACTGTTATGAAATATAATCTATTTAGGATAAACAAATGTAGTTTCATGTTACAATCTGAAATCATTCTAGAAAGAAAAAAAAGGGTAATTTAGATCTATTTCAAATATTCTTTTGATTGTTACAAGGTTGGTCAAATTGACCAACCTCTTATAGAGTTAGGGTAGAGAAAATAACACATAGAATATACAGTTAGGAGGTCTTAGAACATATCAAAACGAAATTGGAGATTTTTCAAATGAAGAAAAGTATTTCTAATCTTCACATGAAAATCACTTTGTACTCAGAGCTGTCAATAAATTGACTCAATACATTAATGGAGAAAATACTCCATTAAAAATTCTGATTTTTTTTCTATAAATGACTCCTAATGATTACAGAAAGCTTGCAAAATTTCGTGAAGATACACAAAGCATATTAGATGTTATAGTATGAAAACTCTAAGGGTAAATTTTTACATTGAATCAGCCAAGCTCATAGCAAGAGAGTTAATACTGTTTGAGACACAGACTAAAATTTCAAGTTTTCTAACGAATTTAGAAAAAAAAAGAACAAAAAACATCTTTAGCTTCATTTCTTAAAACATAAAATATACGTTACAGTTTAAAATTCTTGTTTGAGCAAGATGAGTACTGAAAAATAATTAGTGAATTTTCAACTAAAACTAATACAAAACAGGAACTAAATATAAATGTCAAACTATCAAGTGTTTATCATTACCTCCAGTAAGTGGTTACTTTACCAAAGTATACAGTCGTAATGTTTATGAACATGACTTCTATTATAAATTGTATATCCTGAGGCATCAACCTTCCTTCTTTTATGTTTATTATAAAGTAATAATGTTCCTCAAAGTTTCTACATTTGATCATTCACATGTAATTACCTTTCCTTCAAGTGATATGCAAAATAACATTTTCTTTATTGTTACAGAAAGTAAAAGATTAGTGTTATAATTACCCTTTCCCAGAGTCCAATCCCTTTAAAAAATGTTAACAGCAGCTCATGGGCTCTCATCTTATCTTCCAATTGGTGAAGAAGAATCAAAGAAGTAGAAGATGAACCAAATGCTTCTGTTATGGAACAAAACATCATCATTTTCTTTTAACAAAGGGAAACAGATGTTTAGAACATTAGGTTTTCGTTTAAGTCAGTGTGTTATATTAATATTTTCCAAAACATTGTTTACAACAAAATTTTTCATATAACAATTTCAATTTGTCATAATGAAAAGGTAATGCCATCTTAAATACTATATCTCAATATGCCCTTACTCACACTATCTTCTTCAACTAATGGTTTTCCACAGATTCTCTTGAGAATATGCCTAATGCTTAAGCTTACCTGCAGGAATGGACTCAGCCCAACGAGGGTCAGAAGCTGGGTAATCGTCTATCAACATCTGACTCACTAATGCTACTGTGACATCCAGATAAGAGTCAGTTTCCACAGCAGGCAGTGGAGATGGTGGAAACATTTCATCAATTATTGCTTGGCTCTTTGCCTAAGTCAAAGGAATTAATGACCAACTACAATTATAAAGTTTTAGCATACTCAAATATTTGATTTTGCAGACTTTTTAAAATTTATTTTACTCATGGTTAGCAAACATAATAACTCAATATGAACATAAGAAAAAATGCTCAGAAACTGTGGAAGTGGTAGGTCAATTATGTAGTCCACTATCATAAGATAATATACAACTAAAATTGATTTATGTAAAACCAAACACCAAATCAGGCAAAATTATTTATTATGCTTACCAAAATCTGAACATTTATGCTCATAACCTATCCCTTTATTTACTAAATGGTAAATTCTTTCTCCACTTTTAGTGTATCTAACACGATGACCAAATCAACAATGCTAAAAGCAAATCAAAATGTAAAAATATATATTTAAGTCTGTGTGTAATAGACACACACACACACACACACACACAATTTACATTAAATTTTATGGCAGTTTTTTTTCAGTATTTACCATTTATAATTTTTATTCTTAGGAAGTTTCCTTTCCATTTTTGACAAAAATGCTCATTTGCTATTAAACACCCACCTAAACATTTTCAATGATGAGAAAAGTCCTCTAAAATATATAATAATTTTTAAACTTTATTAATTAGAAAGATATTTGTTTCAGAAATTTGTCCCAAAGATACACAAGACATGCTTATATTAGTCATCACTAATACACTAGAGGGAAGTCAGCTAATTAACAGCACCTAATGCCATAGTTGAGTAGTATAATTTGAATTTCACTCTTACAACACACCTATGGCCCCAATGTGCAGAGTGCAATTTTGCAGCAATAAGGACCATGGGCATCAGATTTACAGTCCATTATGCCAATCACTAGGCCACTAATAAGAAAGATGCTTAATAATACAAAACAATTAGGCTAAACTTTCATCATATCTACCTTAAATTACTCATCATTTATGAAGAAAGCAAATTAAAAAACAATTCCTGAAATTGTATTAACCCTATTGCCAAGGGTATCCTTTATTGCACACGATGCAATGTTTTAGTGTCTTACATTCAAAATTTTATTACACTTCATTTTGTTTATGTTATACCAATTAATATAGCATACAATCTTAGCTAATAATACATATTTTAATAGTATACAAGTTTTACGTTCTTAATTCTACAAGGCAATATTAAAAAGAATCCTGAATTTCCCTTAGTGTGACACATGACACATTTTCTCTATATTATCCATCACCCCTTCAAAAGTACAAAATTAAACATAAATTACTCACTATAAAATTGTAATTGCTCAGACAAACCATAATTTTCATAGCCTTCAATTTTGTTTGATTACAGAGATATCAAATAGAAAATCAGACCCCTACTGCCACATCTTTTTCAGGATTTGTTAATAATTCTCTCTTACGTTTAATTATATACTACCTATAACCAATAGAAAGCCAAGGTTTTCATCTGTCAAATGACGTATTCTATAACATTATGTACTGAACAGATAATCGTCAATTTCTCTCTGAGAACAAGCTCCGTTCCCATGGGATAACTAACGACTAGCTTGGATGAATTTGTAATGGCTCTTGTTGCATAGTTAAAAAGCCAGAAAAATTTTGGGAGTTAGGGGAAATTGTCTACTTTTTGCATGTTATTAGTCTATGTTCTTTGGTGCATTATTTAATTAACAATTGACAGCAAAAAAAAAGATTGGGTAAGTACTCTATTTCTTGTTTTTCATATTTATTATTTATTTATTGTTATAAATGTAACTAAAATGCAAAAATATGGATCTTTTAAGGTTAGTTAAGATTAGATTAGGTAAAATAAATAA